TTTTTTTTATTAATCAACTTTGCATTTGGAGGGGTAAGAGTGATTAGCCAACTTCAGCTTAGTTCCCATGCCAGTTGCTATTTTACGCCCTTTTCTCCTCTTTATTTGGGTTTTGCTTATCTCTTCTCTCTTTCGTTCTCTTGCTCTTCTTCACTTTTCTACCTATTTATTTCATTCGCTCCTCTATTTTGATTATTATCTCTTCTCTTGCTTTCCCTGTGCATCTCACACTTTTATGTGTGTTGGCGTAAACAGTAAAACTATACTTACAACTTGAAAATTCTTTTATAAACGGAGTCCATAAATGCAATTTAGATTTAGCAACTTCACGATAAGTAATGCATTTTCCACAATCATGTGGGAATTTCACACATGAACGTACTTCTTCAAGTGACTAAACATCGTCAATATAGAAAACTAATACTTTATATTTTAATCGTAAGTATGAAAATCAGGATGGTTTAGCCTTTAGAGTAGTCGTCTCTTTTCGTTGTATTGAAGCTGTTTACCTCGTTTTTGGCAAATTGGTCGTATTGTCAGAGGGATCTGGAGTAAGGGACTTTGTCCTGAGCCCATGGTATCCATGTGCCATTGGCTTGGAACATTTTCAGACGTTTTGCGGCATCATCAACGAGTCTTGCCATTCTCAGCACCACATTGCAACTGGTCAAAAAGACAAATGAAGTCGACCCTTCGACCAATTGTATCCTAACAGATGTGGTATTTCTCCTTCTGTCCTGGTATATTCACACCGAAAAACGATACAAGACAACTGACGCACTGAAGATGCTGCGAGTCGTCTGAGAATATAACAAGTTCACAGTCAGACTCTGGAAAATGTCATGGCTACTATGGCCTCCGGACAAGATGCGCTCCTCCAGGTTCACATGGAAATACCAACAAGCTGCCAGAACAAGGTCAAACAACGTCTACACAACAAATGAGGAGAGCGACCATGAAAGAGACCACACACACTTGGTCTTCATATCTACGAGACACGAAGGAAGCAATCTTGTCCGGATTCCGTAGTTGCCATGGTAATTTTCATACTCGGATCGTGGATTTAGTTTCGCTACCCAAGTATCAACACCTCTCTCAGCTCCAACTCGTCAAAAAGACAAGCGAAGTCGATCTTTTGACCAAATGTCCGCTGAACCGTTTTGGTATTTTGGCCTCCGTCACGGTGCATTGACTCAGTATATGCAAGGAAAAGTTGGGTTTCCAGGACTCTCTTGTTTCATAATTGCTGGGCTTACTTTCATTTCGAGTGAAAGCGTTGGGTGAAGAGATTGGAAGATGACTTCCACCAGAAGAGGCCGGCGAATGTATCTTCACCAGCTGTCGATTGGCTTTACTGGAGCATGCTTGTTGACGCTGTTTCCGAGGCAATCTCATTCGATTCCGGTGAAAAGGTGCTTAGCTTTTGTTCGTCATACAGCGAACATCATCAGAGCAAGGTATCATCTCTACAACCAAATTCAAGCCAACGAGTCAAGAAAACTCACCGACACATCCCTAAAAAGCTGTATATATAGTCTATGCCTGACCCCCTTGATGAGGCATAAGGTGATTTGGTTAGTTCCAGTCACATGTCAGCCTCGAAGCATGTGGGCTAGGAGTACAGAGAAGTGACTATGCTTAGAACCAAGTCTAGTTGAATCGCCTCCTTTTTGCAGGCGGCTCGGCATCCTTGAGTCTAGTAATTAAGCACAAGTAATTTTTGCTTATCCTTTTGCATTCACTCGGCCTGTATTCTTCTACTACCTCTTCACCATCACAATTTGTTGCTTGTTTTTTTTAACGTCCTTTTTTGGTGTCTCTTTGAGCTGGTTTAGCGAGGCCTATTCACACTCGCAGTTTGGAGCTGAGAATGTACCAAGTCCAAAAAATGCCTGACGATACGATGAATTTGCCGAAACAACTTTTGTACAGATGATGATATGAAGACGAACATAGTCGCCTTGGTTACTTTTAGCTCGACAATGTTACTTCGACCTCGTTTTTTTCCAAGTGGTCTGACGGATAAGGAGACTTTGTGGAAGGTGCTGAGTCCTGTGTGCCCTACCCTCGACAATGCATGATGACTTCCAGCCTCGGACGGTCGCGTTGATGATGCCGGTGAAGCGTGTGCGACGGCACCAAGTCAACGGTCCGAGGCTGGAGACCATCATGAAATGTTGAGGGCAGAGGACACAGGACTCGGCGTCTTCCACGAGGCTTTCCTGTCGTGCCGAGCAATTTGCGGAAACGAGGTCAAACCAACACCACACAGCAGCTAGTTGACCTTGTTTCTCTGACGAATTGTAGCTTGGCGTTAAGACTGACAGAACTGAATGAGGTTGCCGACAAAACGTCCAGGAATGCATCAAGTACATGGTTCAATGCTTGGAATCATGACAACCACAAGAGCAACGAGTTTGTAGAAATGAAGAAAAGTTGGCTTTCAGGAATCATTTGTTTTACTTCCATTTCGAGTGGGGGCGTATGCTGCGATGAGACTTGCAGGTCCACATCACCAGACGAAGATGGCAGTTTCGTCCGATTCAGTTGTTAGTCGGTTCTTATAAAAAATAATAGAGCATCGAAGATATGAAAACCAAGATGGTTGCGCGCCCGGTATGGTTGCAGTCTACTGTCGATTCATAGAATTGGGTCGGCCTCGTTGTTGCAACTTGGTCTTGTTGTCAGGGCGACTTAATAGAACGCACCTGGTCCTAAGTCCTCTGCCATGATAGTTATCATAATTCCCAGCATCCAAGCATCCCAGCCTGATGCTGAGAATTGTGCTAACTACCATGGCAGAGGACTTCGGACAAGATGGGTTCTACTAAGTCGTCCTGACAACAAGAACAAGTTGCAGCAACGAGAACAATCCACTTTAATAATAGCGCATATCCTCCTTTGATTCCTGGTTTGGCATAGCGTTTAGCCCAAACGTTGACTGTCAATTACAAAGAA